CGAAGGTCGTAGGTTCGATTCCCAACGGAGTTGGCGTTTTAAAAATTGATTTTGGCTCCCAGGTCGACCCAGTGTTGAATGGATACCAGGTAAAGTCATGGGAAGTAAAAGCGGCCGGTGTGATTTTGACGAAATTAGCCACAGAATGCCCTTTGGTTTATTTAAAAACAAGAAGATCTAACCCTATATGCTTGAATGAGTGGGAAAGTGTCCCCTACGTTACAAAGGTGCATGTTCGTGAAATCGTTCAACAGAGCACTCTTCGAAGTATCAATGCCCTCAGAGAAATGGGAAGGATAGAGGACTTTGGTGGCAGTGAATCCACATCACTCGCCAGAATGGCAGACTTGGGAATTAGGATCGGCACAGCAAAAAACGAAACGCACACCAGACACTACAGAAGACTTGTTAATCAACATAGAACTGGTACTATTAGCAATCGAACGTTGGGGTTCATACTGAGGGGAGGATCTGAGCACCTATGGACATGTCCGGAGTGCAATGAGGATAACCCACCTAACTAACTAACTAACTAACTAACTAACTAACTAACTAACTAACTAACTCTTCGAAGTTTGGCAGGGTTTAATTTCCACACTGGGCGTTTTAGAAAAAGATCGATTCGTGGCTTTTAGACAGTGGTAAGAGAGTGGCACTGTGGAAGAGACTATAGCCTCGTTACATAATATCACCATAGTCACTAGTGGATATGTTGCAGCTAATTTTCATTTAAATACTGAGAATTTCCCGAGTAATTGCCTAGAATAGTTGCCCCGAGTAATTGCCCTGAATAGTTGCCCCGAGTAATTGCTCAGAATAGTTGCCCTGAGTAATTACACGGAATCGGCTAATGAAAGCGGAACGTTGTAAGCAACTATAAGAAAGAGAAGGCGCGCCGCCACGAAGTTAACGTTGAAAGTGTGGGGGGTGGGGGGGGGTAAGGGTGGCAACCACCCCACCTTGACCCCCCCCCAAAAAAAAAAATTATAAAACATTGGTGGAGGAGGGGGCGCTCAACTACATTCTCCTTATCCCCTAATCAAAAATTTGGTGCTGTTTCAAACCTGTTATGCACCCCCCCCCCCACCCCCCCCCCACCCCAACCGGTTCCCCCCCCCCCTAAAGTTGTCATATTATTGTGATCGACAATCTTATAGTTCCATTTCATATTTCTCTAGCTGGTTCAATGTGTCTCTGGAGCAAGAAAGTGGATTCAACCAGTGGGAAATGTTGATGAAAATGCCAAGAAGGTAACTTTAGAGGAAAGAGGTATATGCTAACGAGTCCTTCCTTGGTTTTATCCAGGTAAACCCGAAGGTTGCCAAGAGCTTGTTCCAACACATCTGTTCTTAATACATCTGACAAAACTGCTTCTCGGGTATGCCTGTAAAAGTTCAGAAGTCCAATGTCAAGCTGATGGATTACATCTGGTATGGCAACTCCAGACTCTTTGGCACGGGTGGCCCCCATCTACTCCACAATGTGCAGTTTGTTCAGGCTCCGTCTTATCAGTCGTATTTTGGTTAAGAAACATGTACCGGGTACTGTTACATAAATTATGACTTTGTCTGAATAGACTACGGAACTTATTTTTATTAAATGTAACCGTTGCTGATCAGGAGTGATTATGTTTGTGTAGGCTGGAGTCCTCATAACCTTCTTCAACAAAATGTACTCATTGAGGACTCTCCAGATGAGACGCTGCCACTAAAAACAGATCATTTTGTCTCCCCCTTCCAACGGCGCCAACGGCATCTCCCCTACCTGCCACACCCTAGTTACGCCACCGCACACGTATCTTATGTTTGCCTTTGTCACCTTATATCTACACATTTATTGTTGCTTCCATGAGTACAAATCTTCTTCTAATAGTAGTAATTTAATCAGCGATATCCCGTTAAAAGCTTCAGGGTTATAACTAATTTTAACTGATTTTCACTATTCGGTCGAATACGAATAGCGGGACTAACTATTAGGCCGAATACGAATACGAATAGTGTATCATCATCATTAGGCGCCTTGCCGACTGGTGTGGGCGATTATGCCTCGCCACAATCTGCAATCTCCTGACATGTTTTAGTTCGTGTGCTGACACACCTCCATGACAAGACTGTCGAGAATCTTCTCTCTTTGTCTTCCTCTATCCCTCCTTCCACAGATCTTTCCAGCGGTCACCACATGTTCCATTTTCCCTCTTCTCATAACATGGCCGCAAAATGATGACTATCTCCTTCTGGTGTCTGTGATTAGTTGATTTCGGGCTCCCGCCTCTTTCAAAACCATCGGCCGTTCGTTCGATGTAATTTGAACGCATCTTCATATTCTCGTAAGCAATATCTTCAAATTTGATTTGGGCAAAGACACACTGAAAGAACGTAAAAATGCATGAGCTCTCTCTCTCTCTCTCTCTCTCTCTCTCTCTCTCTCTCTCTCTCTCTCTCTCTCTCTCTCTTTCTCTCTCTCTCTCTCTCTCTCTCTCTCTCTTTCTCTTTCTCTTTCTCTTTCTCTCCCTCTCTCTCTCACAGACACACATACACGCACAAGCAACAAAAAAGAACGCATTGCCTTTAAATATAGGTGCTTACTTGACCAGGCTATCGGTTAATATTGTACAGACCACATTTTCCACTTTAAAATTTCAGCCAAAATGTAATCACAACCTTACTTATCTGCTGCACCTATTGTGTTAATGAGAGAGTTATTTCAGTCCACCATATGCAGAAACGGGTGTAAGGTAACCACTATTCGTATTCGACCCGACCGTAAGTATTCGGCCGAATACCGATTAGTTATTATGTCCGCTATTCGGCCCCGAAGCAAATACGAAGCGAATATTCGGTACAGCACTAGTTATAATTAGGATATTGGGTTTCTTCTTCTTTTTCTTCTTCTTCTTCTTCTTCTTCTTCTTCTTCTTCTTCTTCTTCTTCTTCTTCTTCTTCTTCTTCTTCTTCTTCTTCTTTTTCTTCTTTCGTCGTCTCACTGTTACCGCGTTACAGATCAGTAATGGTTTTCTTTATTTGTCTTGCGCTCCTTTAGTAGTTGATTTATTTTTCTCCCCCTCCCTCCTTCGGATTCCAGCCGCACCATCTTTTCCTTGGCCTTTGTCTCGCCTTCCACCCAGATGTTCTGATTTACAAGGTTTCATGAACAGTTTGATCTGGCTGCATATTTACTGGATGATTAGACCAATACACACACTCTCTGTCTTGCGCCAACACGTTCTCATATGGGGGTATTCCACTGTTTGTGATGCTGTCTTGTCTTGTGTTGTTGGTGTACTTTAGCGCATGTCACGTGTGACTGTCTGTATTTACTTATAAGATTCAATTTTCGTCTTTTTTAGGATGAAATTTTTCGTTATTTGAAGCCCTACTATGGTTTTCGCCAGGGGCCGCAATATAGCCTGGCCATAAATATGGCCTGAAGGCTGAACGCGGTTTTTGGGACCTCTCCACGGTGATCCTCACCCACATGGTGGCACATTGTGTCATCGGGTGATTATCGCTTGTGTGATGTCCTGGTGGGGTAAAAAGTTAGTGGCTGTCTGTTTCTATCAATCTCACTGTCCATGTTTGGAACTGATATAATAAAGTAATTATTAAGATGCTTTTAATCGCTTGTTGTGTTGTTGGAAGGTAGACATCGGGATGACTGGACAAAAGCGCTGGCTGGTCAATGACTGCAACTGTCATATGAACTTATTCATGAGTATCAATCAACATTTGTTGATTAACGTGTACTCCATTTATTGGAGTGCCTTCCCTTCGGTGATTTGTTATATATTATTGCGCCCATAAATAACAAAATTAAAGCGAAAATACGAAAAACCACAGAAACTAAATGCTTCAGAAAAACATATATGAACTCATTAGTATGTTGTAATTGAAATAAATTGATTTTGTGATTTTTATTTACATGTAAAGTTCATATAACTTGTTTATTGATCTCGCGGAAGTTTTCTAGGGTATCAAGCTATATAAGTCAGTGGTGTATTGCAGACGACATCAGTTCACGGTTGTTGGTGGTCGTTGAGGGAACGTTGTCAATGCGTGATGCTATCTGCCTGGGCCCATCCATTCTTGCTGTGTTGTCAATTCGTTTTATACAGCCCGGTGCACCGGTTGCGTTGTTTAAATAAAAATAGTTGTAAGTATTTTAACAGTGGTGCTTCTAAATGCGGTTGTAGTACTTGTAGCATTATAAACTATCCGTAGAATTAATCCATGGCCGAGTCGGATGATTTATGTTCTTTAACCAAGTTGGATCAAGAGCAAGAAGTGAAAGAAGGTGACGCTGAAAAGAAAGATGTGCAGATTGAAGAGAAAGTAAGTGAGATAGAAGAGACAGATTTACAGAACGAAGCGAAAGTAAGTCGGACAGAAGATAAAAATATAATGAAAGAAGTGAAAGTAAGTGAGATGGATGAGGAGCATATGGAGAAAGAATCGAAAGTAAGTGAGATGGGTGAGAAACATACGGAGGAAGAAGCGAAAGTAAGTGAGATGGAAGAGAAACATATGGAGGAAGAAGTGAAAGTAATTGTAGTGAAAGAGGAACATAGGGAGGAAGAAGGGAAAGTAAGTGAGGTGAAAGAGAAACATACGGAGGAAGAAGCGAAAGTAATTGTGGTGAAAGAGGAACATATGGAGGAAGAAGCGAAAGTAAGTAAGAGGGAAGAGAAACATATGGAGGAAGAAGCGAAAGTAAGTGAGATGGAAGAGAAACATATGGTGAAAGTAAGTGACGTGAAAGAGGAACATATTGAGGAAGAAGCGAAAGTAAGTGAGATGGAAGAGAAACATATGGAGGAAGAAGCAAAAGTAAGTGAGATAGATGAGAAACATATGGAGGAAGAAGTGAAAGTAAGTGAGATGGAAGAGGAACATATGGAGGAAGAAGTGAAAGTAAGCGAGATGGAAGAGGAACATATGGAGGAAGAAGTGAAAGTAAGCGAGATAGATGAGAAACATATGGAGGAAGATGCGAAAGTAAGTGAGATGGAAGAGAAAGTTAGTGAGACGGAAAAGGATGCAAATGTTAGTGAGATAGAAAATGCAAATACAAAGAAAAAAGCAAAATTAAGACCAACTGAAGAGAAAATAGGTGAAGCAGAAGTAAGTAAGAAAAAGGCTAAAGTAAGTTTCAAACTTGGACTAGGAGATGATGATGACATTTGGTCAAGTTGCAGTGATATTTCATTTGAAGTTAGTACAGACAATATATCTACCCCTAATACCAGTGCTAAGTCCAATAGCCACAGCAGTAGCCAAGCTGCTGCGACAAAGCAAGTTAAAAAAAAAAGAAAGAGGCAGAGCAAAGGAGGCATTCGCCACAGGACAGCATCAAAGCAACAGAGAGATAGTGTCCAGTCCCAAGATTTTAGTAAGAAAGCTTGGCTCGCTCATGAAAAAGCTGTGCACCTGCAAGAGAAAGATAAGGCTGCGGCCGCTACTCGATATTCAGAAGAACAACATCTGGTGATATTTCCGACAGCACCTTTTAATTCTACACAGTACCTTATTGAAGAACATAACAAAAATTCTCCACCGGGAAATATTGACTGGTTCGATAGCTCAGTATCAAATTCGCCAAACGATCAGACTCCATTGCCTTTGTCGCCCAGTGAAACCAATCTTGAGGCAGTACAGTTTCCGAAAAGGGATCAAGAATTTACAGACTCTCTTGTCAAGGTTCAGGCAGAGTCTTTGCAGAACTTACCAAAAGAAGAACTCGTCAAAAGTTGTATGCATTTAGAACAACATGTGGCCGCACTGTACAAGCAGGTTGGTGAGGCAGAAAATGAACTGAAACAAGAGCAGGAGGATGAGGAGGATGTGTTTTTGACAGGGGAAGAACACATTGACAGACGTTTTATGTTTGAATCAGTGTACAACTCTGAGGCGAACTCCTTATCTAGCAATAATGAAGACTTTGTAGATTTGTCCGGAGTCAACCAACAACCTGTGTGTGTAAAGGAATCCAATGTGTTTACTTGTGAAAATCCAGTTACACCTTCCACCAACTGCAATTCTTCTGAGTCTTCATCTTGATAACAGAACTGCTTATTTTAACTTTTACTTGGTTTTTATGTGAATCTGCTGTTACAGTAACTATGCAACTTGCTGCATTCCAGTCTTTCACTATTGATTTCTGAATGGTAGTCTCACTGTGCAATTAATTATAACAGTTGATGCCTAGGCTTGGTGGTAATCCTACAGTACATTTATATCATCTGATACCCAGCTTATTGGTAATCCTACAATACAATTATATCAGCCAATACCCAGCTTGGTAGGAATCCTACAGTACAATTATCATATGACGCCCAGCTTGGTGGTAATCCTACAGTACAATTATCATATGACGCCCAGCTTGGTGGTAATCCTACAGTACAATTAAATCAGCTGCTGATGCCCAGCTTGGTGGTAATCCTACAGTACAATTATCATATGACGCCCAGCTTGGTGGTAATCCTACAGTGCAATTATATCAGCCGATACCCAGCTTGGTGGTAATCCTATAGTACAATTATATCAGCCGATGCCCAGCTTGGTGGTAATCCTACAGTACAATTATATCAGCCGAAGCCCAGCTTGATGGTAATCCTACAGTACAATTTATTCAGCTGCTGATGCCCAGCTTGATGGTAATCCTACAGTGTAATTATATCAACTGATGCCCAGCTTGATGGTAATCCTACAGTACAATTATATCAGCTGTTGATGCCCAGCTTGGTGGTAATCCTACAGTACAATTATATCAGCTGCTAATGCCCAGCTTGGTGGTAATCCTACAGTACAATTATATCAACTGATGCCCAGCTTGATGGTAATCCTATAGTACAATTATATCAGCCGATGCCCAGGTCAGTGGTAATCCTACAGTACAATTATCATCTGACGCCCAGCTTGGTGGTAATCCTACAGTACAATTATATCAACTGATGCCCAGCTTGATGGTAATCCTACAGTACAATTATATCAGCCGATGCCCAGCTTGATGGTAATCCTACAGTACAATTATATCAGCTGCTGATGCCAACTTGGTGGTAATCCTACAGTACAATTATATCAGCCGATGTCCAGCTTGATGGTAATCCTACAGTACAATTATGTCAGCTGCTGATGCCCAGCTTGGTGGTAATCCTACAGTACAATTATATCAGCCGATGCCCAGCTTGATGGTAATCCTACAGTACAATTATATCAGCTGCTGATGCCCAGCTTGGTGGTAATCCTACAGTACAATTATATCAGCCAATGCCCAGCTTGGTGGTAATCCTACAGTACAGTTTTATCAGCTGATGTCTCTCTAGCTACATAACAAAACCCTGTGTCTTTGTATATGAGTACACATTAGTTGTTTCTTCTGAGGAATTATGAACTGCAAGAGCATTCTGCTTACATGAGTTGTCCCAAGTGCTGTTCAGTCATTTAGCTAGTCAGTGATGGAAGATCAGTTTGGTCCACATTGTGCTGCTCCACCTAATCTCTGACAGGATCAGTTCAGTCCACACTGTGCTGCTCCACCTAATCTCTGACAGGATCAGTTCAGTTAGCATTGTGCTGCTTCACCTAATCTCTGACAGGATCAGTTCAGTCAACATTGTACTGCTCCACCTAATCTCTGACAGGATCAGTTCAGTCAACATCGTACTGCTCCACCTGATCTCTGACAGGATCAGTTCAGTCCACACTGTGCTGCTCCACCTAATCTCTGACAGGATCAGTTCAGTTAGCATTGTGCTGCTTCACCTAATCTCTGACAGGATCAGTTCAGTCAACATTGTACTGCTCCACCTAATCTCTGACAGGATCAGTTCAGTCAACATCGTACTGCTCCACCTGATCTCTGACAGGATCAGTTCAGTCAACATTGTACTGCTTCACCTTATTATTTGACAGGATCAGTTTGGCCCACATTGTACTGCTCCACCTAATCTCTGACAGGATCAGTTCAGTCAACATTGTACTGCTTCACCTTATTATTGATAGGATCAGTTCGGCCCACATTGTACTGCTCCATCTAATCACTGACAGGATGATGTTCAGTCCACATTGTGCTGCTTCACCTAATCACTGACAGGATCAGTTCACACCACTGTGTGCTGCTCCAGTCAGATCCTCATCAAAAGTTAAAGGTTTATAAGGACCAGAGACAACTAGAGTAGCCTGGTGTTGAACTTCATTCATGTCTGTACCCGGTGAAAGTTTTTATCAGCTGACAAAATATGGTGCTTGTGGTTATTCAAGAACATCAAACTCATAGCTCTGCAAAAGTTTACTGTGTTTTTAGATGTTGTCAAGTCCATGTAAATTAAATATATACAGTGCTTACTCTAAGATAATTTACCTTGAAGAATGGAGAAAACACAGCTATATATTTTATTTGTGAATCCAGCTTGTTCAACTCCAGTGAAATGGTTTCAACTATTAGGGTAGGTCAAAGGTCAAGAGAGAACAACCCCATGGTTAACAGTTCCAGTAAGTTTGAGCTGAACCTAGCAGACTCCATTCCAGTGGAGAAATATGCCTACCTTAGTAATTAGTATAACTGTGAGTGGGATACTGAAAATTTTTTCACAGATTGACCTGTCCATTCCCACAGACATAAAACAAGGTAGTTGCGTATCCTTTACAGGACGTTGCAGAACCAACCCTAACAGCCCCTGACTGTTGTGTGGTTTCTCTAGGCAATTTTACATCCAGTAGTTTGCCATTGCTTTCTGGACAGTCGGCTTTCTTGATGCCACTGTCAAAACCAATGCAAGGCGCATTTCCCGCAGCTGGGATCGAACCAGGCATCCCGGCATTGCGAAGCGAAGCATTCGCATCGACTTAGCCACAGAGCCGACAGACATAAAACAAATGTCAATTAATAGGAGGTTTCAGCCAGTACATATCATCTTCATTGTGCGTGCACACACACACAAATAACATAGCTTATTTGGCTGGAATTGCATCATGCTTGTTTCTACTTGACCCTATAAGATGGTGTTTATTAACAAACCTGTGTCAAATTGCTGCTCTGCTGTAGCACCAATTCTTCTTGGCAGCTAGTCAAATGTGCCTTACATCCAGACGGTTTTTTTTTTTAACCTACATTGACTTGATTTAGCCATGTCTCTAATCCAGCAACGACCTGGGTTGTGACTAGGATTCAACAACAAATACAATTGTTATTCGCTTCAAAGAAACTGCCTTGACTCGCATTGAACAAACTCTACATCCATATCTCTGTTTTTTACATGTTTAATTTTCATTCACATCAAGTTAATGTCTCTAATAAAATGTTGCTGACATTCCTTTTGCTGAAATGAAGTATTGGTGGCGAATACAGTTCAGCCTGAAACATAGTATTGGTGGCGGATACAGTTCAGCCTGAAACATAGTATTGGTGGCGAATACAGTTCAGCCTGAAACATAGTATTGGTGGCGGATACAGTTCAGCCTGAAACATAGTATTGAAAAAATCATGAGCCAAGTGATTTCATTTGCCTGTCTAAAAAGAAATGTAGTTTATATTATTTTGAACAGGCTGGAATTTCCTACACATCTGTAGCCAGTGATCATATTCAGCTGCAACTTATAGCTCTTAAAGAAAAGAGTACTACTACTTAACTTTTTTTTCTTCTCAAGTCAAGTCAGCATCACAGGTTTAAAAAAAAAAAAAGTAAATGTGGTACTTGATTGAAGTGTTGCAATGTCACCATTCAAATGTCGCATATTTGTCATTATTACCACTCATTGTTATACTGAATGTCTTTTATTCTCTCCATTCTTCGGTTGCAAGTTGTTTTCGGTGCTCTAGTAACACGGGTAACAGTTTGTGAAATATATATATATAATCTGCACATTACCATTTTATCATCTGATCATAAGCCATGGTGCAGAATGAGAAAATGTTGATTTTTGTTGTTGTTGCATGCACAAATATTCCCTCAGGATAATTTCATGTACGAATATTGTGATAAGAGTATCACACAATTGCATCACACCATTTGGAAACCACAGATGCGACATTTTTTTACTGTTGCTTTCTTTGATTCATAGTACTCTTTTGTTTTCTGCACTATCATAACATAAATTTTTTTTTGTTTTTTTTTAAATTTAGTGAGACACCACAGGCTTAGCTCACTTGTGACACCAAAAAATCTTGTCTTTCAACAGACCCCTCACTCCATTATCTGACTGATCCCAAAAGTTCTCTATAATAAAATGGCTATGTTTTTCTTGTTGTAGACATGTAAATATGAGTGCCAGATTGACTTCTGTAAATTTGTATTTTACAAACTATTTGAATTTATACAACCATTCATAACAGTTTTTATTTATATTATGTGTCTTGCAATAACACATTGAGTGCAGCTGGCAAGCCAGTTGCTTATTGGAGATTGAATTTTGACAGAAGTTCTTGGCACACTATGGCTGTTTACACATGTTGGAAGCTGGAAGTACAGATTGAAGAGGAACAGATTTGGGGACTGACCATATCACCTCATCAAGCTGTGACCTGATATGCATGTGTCCACTGCTGGATCAAACTGTATATTTCAAATATTTTGTGAAGTTCATATTGTGGTTTTAAAATGGATGCTTTTATCATATTTTAACAGATTTATTGTTGCTTTGATGTTCTGGAAAGTGCATACCTTCTCTATTAGCAGCTCTCCGTCAGTCTCTGTTGAGCCGTGTTCATGTAGCTACAATATTGTTTCTGTCTCTCCGTCTATACCCTGGACTGTTAAACTGCTGTATTCTTCCTATACTGGTGTTTGGACATTTGTATTGGACATTTGTATTATTTTAATAGAAGTTGAAACCATTATTTGGTTTGTTTGGTAGATTTTGGTTTTGGCTATTTTTAAAGACTGGGGACAGAAACAATTCTTTAGTCTCCTCTCCATCTCTCTGCTTGGAGGTTCTGCGTTAGAGTATATATTCTAATATTTCCAAGTCTTTCAATTATGGATCAATGTTCTGAGAATTTGACATTTAACTTCTTTTTTGACACAGATGTTTCAAATTTAATCCACCTGTTAGGCACCCTG